ACCAGCTGAACGTTGCCACTGGCATTGTCGTGGTGTAATTATACTGCTCTGTAGCGATAAATGCTGTCAATGATAACACTAACAGTTGTTTTTATAATCTAGACTGCATGGAATACGCAAGAAAACTACTGCGAACCTCAAAGTCAAAATGAGCTAATAACTAATGTTTATAAGCTATTTTCGATATTACACTTCCTTAAAAGTGTGCTAGTATAGTCAGCCTCTCTGAAGTGATCGCTGCAGACTTTACGAAGGCATTTTAACTTGGTTATATCGCTATGACGATACGATCGGCTATTCGTGATTCCTGTATCTTTCCAACTGACCGGTTGATTGCGCAATCGTTGTAACACCTCTAACTCCCGCTGCGCCACCTGCTGACAAAGCTAGCGGCTAACCCCATTAGTATCGAAGAACTTTGCTAGTCACACCAGGGGTCACACCACTGGAATCACTAAGAACAGAGTTAGGAATTTTACCAATAACAGATAAAATAGGATACAAAAAACCCATGCACCCGTACATAAAAAAAAGTTAGAAATAATCCAGAGAACTACAGACCTATTTTAATAGTTCATTGTTTTGGTAAGTTACTAGAAAAAGTATTATACACTGAAATCTGCGATTACCTAGAAAGAAACTCCCTACTATACAAAAAGCAATTTGGTTTTCGGAAAAATCACAGTACCACTGGCGCACTAATCACGACTACAGAGTATTGGAGGCACACTTTGGACAATAACAAATTTGTAGCGACCGCATTTCTTGACTAACGCGGGCAGCACACTTCACCATTTTCGTTGCTCGTACAGGCAATTTTCGTGGTCACCACAAAAATGACCAAGTGTGCGGGGGGCCGGCAACGACCACTCACCACGGAAATTTAGTGGTGACCACGAGTTGTCGAGAATCAAACCGGTTTGATTTCTCACCACGAAAATTGCTTGTGGTGGCAACTTGTAGTGAAGTGTGCTGTGACGCGACATTGGCCACAAAAATTGCTGCTAGCTTTCAGCAAAGCTTTTGACAGCATATCCCACAAAACATTGCTTCAAAAACTAAAACAAATAGGATTTGACACATACTCTACAACACTGATTGATAAATACTTAACAGACAGAAAACAGAGAGTGAAAATTAACAACACCACATCAGAATGGGAGGCTATTGTTAGAGGAGTCCCGCAGCGGACATTACTGCATGGGGCCGTTACTATTCTGCATATACATCAACAATATACCAAACGTACTCGAAAAATGTGAACTGACCCAATATGCTGACGACACATGTATATATGCCACAAATTCAGATCCAAATAAAGCTGTTAATAAACTGCAAATTAATGTGTAAAAAATTAAACAGGTATTCGATTACCATAATTTACAAATGAACCCAGACAAAACAGAATTCATGCTATTTTGCCCCAACAGTAATAAAATTGTGGATACTACCAAAATTGGGTTGGAAATAAGTAACAACTCGATACCACAATCGAGAACAGTAAAATTTTTAGGTATGTATATAGATCAGCATTTAACGTGGAATGACCATACTGACTTATTAGTAGACAAGATGAGTACAAGTATCAGCTTCTTCAGACAGATACGGGGTCAACTACACACAAACACAAAGCTGTAAATATACTAGTCACTCTGCCTGTCGCATTTCATATATGGATCTACTCTGTTTGTAAATCTTCCAAAATCAGCTTTAGATAGACTAAACACACTACAGAATTATGCTCTACGCATTATAACAGGTTATTTCCACAAAAACGCTACATCACAGAGACAGACAGGAGCAGCTACTAGAACTAGAGAGAAACTAAAAGTACCTCCAATTGAATACCTAATTAAATACCACACACTTATATGTATATACAAAATTTAATATATCCACCATCTAAACAAACCACTTAGAAATAATCACCTACCTTACCTGACAAATATTACATTAAATTCAAGGATACTTAAATTAAAACAAATAACAACAAGTAATATGTATAGACACAACTCACTCACTAAGGAGGCAATAAACTAACGGAATAAACTACCAATAGACACAAAAAGGAAGCCTTCACTTAGCACATTTAAAAAAATGTTAAAAAATACAATTTTAACAACATATAGCAGATATGAGAACAATGTTGCATTCTGAATGAATATGTGTCTATATTTATATAAATGTGTTTGTCTGTGTGCGTATATGTAATATGTAATGTATGTAATGTGTATATAATGGTGTACGTATGAGTGTCGAAATGGTACCGTAATCACATTGCTTGTAAAGACTTTACTAACGTTTGTTTTTTCTGGTATCTATTTTTTTCTTTATGTTGTCTTTCACTTTACTTGTACAGACGTTGCTAAAGTTTTTTCCTGGTTTTTATTTTTTCTTCCCGTTGTATGCACTGCTTTGTACTGTATCACTCAGAAAATTTATCATTTTAACTACTCAACACTTGCATTTATCAGTGTGTCTATATTTATTTAAATGTAAGTGTGTGTGTGCGCGTATATGTATGGAATATGTAATGTATGTCATATGTATATAATGGTGTACGTACGAGTGTCAAAAGATGTTAAAGTGTACCTTAATTACTTTACTTGTACAGACATTGCTGAAGTTTTTTCTGGTTTCTATTTTTCTTCATGTTGTATGCACTGTTTTGTACTGTATCGCTCAGAAAATCTATCACTTTAACTGCTCAATACTATTACATTGATCAGTATGTCCATATTTATCTAAATATATGTGTGCGTATGTTTGTGTAATGTGTATATGATGGTGTACGTATGAGTGCCAAAATGATGTTAAAGTGTACCACTATACTTGTATAGACTCTGCTGAAGATTTTTTTTCTGGTATCTGTTATTTTTTATGTTGTCTTAATCACTTTACTAGTACAGAATATGCTGAATTTTTTTTCTTTTTTTTTCTTTTTTTTTTTCTTCATGTTGTATAGCATTGTAATTGTACTGTATCCGTCAGAAATTTTATCATTTTATCTACTCAACACTATTGCTTTTATCCTATTTTTTCTCCATAAAAAAACTGTCGTCAGTATATGTATTTGTATCTGAATTCATGCAATAAAGATTTAATAGTAAAATAATAATAAGCTAGATAACAATAGATTAATGAAGAGAGTATTTATATAGCAGATCAAAGAAGAAAGCAAAAATTGGGTAAATAAGATTTTAATAATTATAAAGGAATACGAACTGGAAATATTATTTCCAGCCATAGGAGTAAAACCCAAAAGAGCCTGGAAAAAAACAAGTCAATGATGCCAATATAAAAAGAGTGATTATAAGAGACAAATTGAAAACTAGAGATAACACAAAAATGAAGATGATAAACATTGAAACATACGGATTAAAGGAATATATGAAAGAATTATCCTTTGCCGACTCGTGTTTTGCATTTAAATGTAAAACTTGATGGTTGATCTCAAAGGTTACTTTATAAATAACTTCAGCGACGACAGGTGTAAAAGATGTAATAAGAATATGAAAGAGGACTTGGAACATTTATATAAATGTGATAGCTATAATAAATATAGGGATGGAGAACAAATAGAAGGCTGGAGATGGGACAACCACGGGTTGAACATATTGAAACCAGCGTTAAATTATGTGCGAAAAAAAATTCTGTTGATTTTAAACACTAATATCTAGAGAATTAGAGGCGGCATTAATCTCCCTTTTCTCTAGATAATCCCTGCACTTCGTTGAATCGAGTGCCTTGTGAAATACAAGAGAGGGAGCCAAGATACAAGATACAAATAGTCGATCATACTGAGATGGGTACATGCATGGTTTACTAGTAATTTAAAAAAGAATTCTCTCAAACTCTGGCCCCTATCGGCCCTATACGGCGAAACTCTTTTTCATGCACAAATGTGGGGTCTGTGAGTAAATTCGCGATAATTATGCGAGAAAAATATGTACTTTTTAGTTCAAATCTGGTTGTTTTTCTCATACTTTTTTTGTACAGTTTTAGCGTTCTCAGTAAAATATACGTTTTATCAAAATTTCAGGGGGAGATGATTCTAGTGCTGTAGTTGTCCGTGGCAGATCCAGGGAGAGCAGAGGGGGTGGTCGTCCCCTAAAATTTGCAGAGCAAGGGTATTTTATCCTAGGTAAGTCTGCACTGGTAACTCTAGTGAGGACATGTATATAGCACAGATTTAGTACAGTAGTAAAAAAAAATTAAAATTAAAAGTCTTTGGTGTCCCCAAAAATAAAAATACTCAACTCAACAATGATATTATTGTGATGAAGATTGTTTAATAATGCTGCCTCAGAGTGCAGGAAATTGCATCTAATAGGTGTAATTTTTAACAAAATTTCCGTGGGAGGTCCCCTGCAACCCCTCTGAACGGGAAGGAGACACCCCCTAAAAGAGGAAAACTCTCTCAA